ATACAGTAGTCCCTCGTTTATCTCGAGGGATCCATATCTTGAAGCCCCGTGATGAGTGAAAAACCACGAAGTAGGTATAGTAGTACAAGTAGTAAGTAGTCGACTATTTTAGAATATATATATATATATATATATATACATTTTAAACCCTTCCCACACTCTTGCAATATTCTAAACAATGTTTCTAAACTCTAGATGATCTAAAAAAGTACAGCATATCATGAACTCAGCTCTCTGCTACAGCTGCACTCTGGGCCACGCCCACTTTTCCACTGCAGAACGTAGATTGAAGGAGGAGGAAGGAGGAGCTGCAGGAGGAACTTTTTCCTGCAGTGTGGCCTGCACACAGGTGCAGCAGGTGCTAAATAATTTAAAACAATTTCAAATAAAAATGTCATGCCCATCGTGTGGCTCATCCATCAATCAGCCAATTGTGTGTCATGTCCACTCTTATTTTGAAAAAAAAAAAAAAACCAAAAAATGCGACAGAGCGAGTCTGCGAAAAACGAACCGCAAAGTAGCGAGGGACTACTGTAAATATTAAAATAAATATAATGTCCCTACTTCGTGGATTTTCTCCTATCATGGGGGTGTCTGGATCCCCTGTGCTAAGTGTGGGACTACTGTATACGTCACACAGGGACCATGATTTGTCAAATAAAACAAAAACCAACACAAAACAATGACAATTACCAATTCCCCCTGTAATTTGAAAAATCTTTCATTTTGTCCAGTTAAACCCAACTGAATGTGATCTTGGTGCGTAAACATCCACATAGCAGAAGCTCAGCAGAGAGGGAGAAAGAAGTACTTGCTGTCAGATTATTTAAAGTTTTCAAGTTTTTCGTTTTCATACTTGAATGGAATGAAGACATGAGACTGTGTGTCAATTATTCAGGTGTCCTTTACAGTACAAGGTAAACAGAGACCGGCTGTGTGTCCCAGTCTCATGGAGACTGTTGTAGAGTCAGATTTTAGTATTCCTGCGAGGTGAATCCCTCCAGTTTTAAGGCTCTGAAAGCCGACACACAGCATATATCAACACCACGGTTTAAATCAGGCCAAGGGTAAAACTGGGACTGAATAGAAAGCAGAATGTGCCCCATGTTGGGATTTACAAATGACAAAAAATAGATAAGACACTCTGCTCTGCATCTTGCTGAAACAAGCTTAGAAGTTTTTACCACCAGAATCCAGTTGAACGTGATGGAAATAGGTGCACCTGTAATCGTTTTAAAATTGCCACGACTTCGACACATGGTGATTATTGGATTTAATCAGCTGAATGGAACGAAACTTATTTTGAACACAGGAGAAGAAGCCCCGAGGGACACTTTGTTTTAAGTGAGGTCGGCAAACGTAACACCGGAGTCCCTGTCAAGCTGACTCATGCTGGAAAAAACTTTTTCAAAAAGACTCCGCCCCCCTTCCCCCAAACAAATAATGAACATCTCCCTCTCTTGTTGGTGCTTATTGAGACTAATGGCTGCATTGACACAGGGGAGAAGTTAGGGATGAAATAGATTATGGCTTTTAAGAGCCAGGGAAGCTTGGTGTGATAAATTACGGCTCGGTTATACATTATCGTCACCAATATTTATTTCCTGCCCCTGTTGCTACAAACAACCAAGGAGGCTTTTATTTTTAAATACGGTGTCAAGGCAAGAGAAAGCTGCTAATTGCAGAACATGAATTACTAAAAGCAGCAGCGCATATTGAACTCTAACGCGATGAAATGAAACCGGCTGCAATATTCTTGTTTATGTAAGAGACGTTTATCCCCAAGGTTACTCCGTTTACTCGCACTGAGCCGCTCATTAAGACAAATAGCTGCGTCTGCATTTCATTTAGAAAGCCAAATAAGTCTGTGGTTGTCCAACTTCTTCATTTTTATTAATTAAAATAATAAAATGCAAGCTATTTTATCATGATTAAAATAAGAAGAATTGGATTAAAAAATAGTTAAAGCAGTCAATTAAATAGATACAATGCTGAGATTTGATGGGGTAACAGCTGAGAGTGAACTCTACCACATATCTTGAGTGTCAGCAGATCACACAAGATCTTTGTGTAAAACTTTGGCATGCAAGACTGTGGGCAATCTTTATAAAGTATATGGTCTTAGATTGTGTATTATCATATCATGAACATAAAGGACTGTATCCATTTTTTAAATTTACCTAAATATATTGTAGAGAAACTTGAACATTATTATTATTATTACTAATATTTATGTTTTTTTCTTGTCTAGGTTTATAAGTAAATCTAACTAGAGAAATTGCAATTCCTGTGAAAATGCAGTGTGAATGCTTACTGCTGAAGAACTTGCTGAAAAGCAGCTTAAATTAGCTAAAAACATTCTGAAATGTAGCTTAAATGGAAAAATAAGTCTAAATTAGCAGAAGAAATTAGAAAAAACATATTTGCTGAATTGGGTTTAAATAAGCAGAAATTAACACAAAAATTAGAAAAGTAGCTAAAAAAGCAAATATTAGCCAAAATAAATAAATAAATAAAACTGCTGAAAAGTAGCTGAAAGGCAGAAAAAAGCTTAAACTACCAAAGGAAAGAAAGGAAAGAGCTGAAATGAGCTAAAAAATTTGGAATTGGTTGAAAAAGCTAAAAAAAATTGCACAAAACTGCTAAATAGTAGCTGAAATTGCAGAAATGGCTGAAACTATCAGAAATAAGCAGAAAAGAGCATGACGAGCTGAAATTAGCAAAAGGAAGTTAACCAGGCTGAATGTAGCAGAAATTACCATGAAAACTTGAATTTATCTGAAAACAGCTAAAAATTGCTTAAAAAGTTAGCTAAAAAGGTAGAACAGTCTTAAATTAGCAGAAGAAAGCAGAAAGAACTTGCTTGCTGAAAGAAGCGGAAATTAACACAAAAAAGTGAGAAATTATCTGAAAAAGCTAAAATTAGCAACAAACAAACAAAAAACTGCTGAAAAGTAGCTAAAAATCAGAAAGAAGCATAAATTACCAGAAGGAAGTGAAGAGAGCACATTTTTGCTGAATTAGTTTGCAAAAGGATGAAACGAGAGCAAAAAATGTGGAATTAGCTGAAAAAGCTAAAATTAGCATAAAACTGCCAAATAGCTGAAATGGTAGAAAAAGTTGAAACTTGCAGAAATAAGCTGAAGGGAGCATAACAAGCTGAAATTAGCAGGAAGGAGTTGGAAAAAGCACAAAAATGTTGCAGTTAGCAGAAAGAATCTAAAAGGATCTCAAAATAGCTGGGAAAAAACAGCTGAAATTAGCTGAAAATAGCTGGGGGAAAAAGTATAAATTTGCACAAGGAAAGAAGCTGAACCAGAACAAAATGTGACAGGAGCAGTCAAAGGTTGTAAACAAAGATATGAAGGATGTAAAATGAGCTCAATTCACTTTCAATGAGGAAAAAAGTGTCAAAAAAAGCTAAATATTTCAAAAAGCTAAAGTTGCACCAATACCAAAAGTCATAGCAGGATTGTCCTGAAAGAGCTGAATGTTTTGATTTATGATTTGTTGAAATAGTTTGAAAACTGCGGGACGAGAATCGCGCCGAAAAACGTATGGAAGAAAAATGGATCACAATAGTGTGAACGCTTCAGAAGCATTCACACTGTTAAAATGTCCACCCTGAGGTCAGATGAGGGTGATGCTGCTGGTGTCAAGTGCAGGTTTCCCGCTGGTGTTCAGGATGTGGATGAGCCACACCATCTTCCTGTTTTTGTTCAGGAGATAGCCGAGTGCAGCCGCTGGTGGAAACAAGGTTTCCACAAAGTCAAATGCATTAAAATGATCATCCAAAAGTGTCGGTGCAGGCACCCTGAAATGTGTTTGCTGGAAATGAAATGAGGAAGATGGGAAAAAGAAAAGGGGAACAGATTGTAGTGTGAGCGTACATTTTCAAGAAGAAAGGATCATAGCAGGGGGGAAGGGCTCAAATTGCTTTTTTTCAGGTGTTTCAGTCAAAATGCTTGTGTCGTGCAAAGTTTCCAAGCGAGTGATTTCAGCTTCATTTGAATGTAATGGAGCAAAACACTGAGGTGTGTTTGTGTGTGTGTTTGTGTGTAGTTGGAGCTGATCAGACATATGCTGGAGTCAGTCTGGCTCAAGTACAAGCTTGGCCCTCGTGTTTTGTGCTTGTAAGTAGTCCTTTTTGGTTTTTCAGCTTGTTTAGAATGACGATAATGAATGCTGATAAAATACTTACCCACGCCAATCCCTCTGTGTTTACGGGTTTAAACGAGGAAGCTGTCCGTGACCTCTCTTTCCATCATGTGCTTATGTTACGTAACCCTCCTCTTCTAATGAATTTGTGTTTCCAGGATGCAGAAGGCCAGCCCAGCGGAGTGGTCTGTATTTCACTTCATGCTTCGGATCCTGCAGTCCACACGGGGTCTCTGCCTGCCCCTTCCTCCTGGTATTACACAGCCAATTGCACCCATCATAAATCCGGTCTGTCTCGGTGCCAGCTGGAATTAAACAAAAAAGTGTTTTTAGTAGGCAACAACAAAAATGCACAATAGTATTTAGCATTAGCCATATGCTGAAATGGCTTAGGCAGTATGTGAAAACATATATTTTAATTTGATATAATTTTATAGCGTTTGCTTCTGTTTGTTACATAATTCTATAATTTTAGTCACTCATGAATAAAATTTAAATCCTTAACTACATGGGAAAGAAGACAAAAAATAGAAAATATGCCTCCACAAGGCAATGTACTTATGAGAAGGTGTATAACGTAGCTGGCATGCTAAATCCAAATTCTGCTTTTATATATATACACACACACACACACATATATATATGTAGCAAACAAATATGTGACAATAAATAAACAAACAGTAATACTGTACTGGACATTAGCCTTAACTTTTATTGTTCTTGCTCGACATTCTCGGGGTTCTTAGGGGATTTATTTACAATTTTTACAGCTCAAGGAATGAGTTATGAATTATTACAGTAAACTTTTTTAGCAGAAAGTTGTTTAATCGGATGATTAATGAATTAAAAAAAAATTTTTGATACTAAAGTATGAATGAAATACTCTGTTTTTCATGGCGGGAAGAGAGAAAGGAGGCTAGCTATTCATATAAATAATTCCAAAATAAAAGCATAACAGTCATGCTAACAAGTCTGATTGTTTCCAACCCCAGAATAATTATTAAAATATGGTATTGTTGACAGAAATCATAACCACACAGAAAAGAAAAAAAAAGCAGTCTTACCGTTTTGCCAAAAATCTTCCACTGTTGAACGCAGTCCAGGTCCTGGGCTGAGTTCGTGGAGCGTTGGAGGTTGTTCTTAGCACACCACAGGTAGACAACTACCAAGGATGAGTGAGGAACTTCAGATGATGGCTCAGTGGGAATCACAGCTGTGATTAGGTCAGCTTTTGATTCAGTCCTTGGCAGTTAAGACTTGCTTGTGTCCAACAGTCCTTTCAAAGACCATCAGACATTTGTGGTGGATGTAGATCCTTGGGTGAAAAGGAACACTCCCGTGTTCTCTTAGCTCAAAATTCAGCTCCACACTTTTAAACCTGAATGTTTAACGGTACATTGTATCTCAAATTAGTCCAGAAAGGTTTGTTGTCATTGCAGCTTGCAGGAAATGGAAGGATCCAGTTGGTTTTGTTGCAGCCACAGCGACTGTGGACCTTCGCTGACTAACTGGCTGTAGAAAGTGCAGAGGGAGAGACATCTGTCCTCATCCAGACTGGTTAGATAGAGATTCTAACAGTCTGCCTTTTGTTGGAGTCCCAAAGTATTGAGCCAACATGATGGTCTGAATTCTGAAGCATTCCTCTGGTCGTTATGAATCACTTAGTGCTCAGCTCAGTTAAAACTTTGCTCTCAGATGTTTCTCTTGAAGCTGATGAATATGGATTCAAACATGGCCGTAGCCACAAATAAGATCCAAAGTTCATGGCTTAAGTTTCTGTTGGGGTTAACAGCACAGTTCTTCAACAAACACACACACACACACAGAAACGGTGAATTAGCACGTTAGCTGCATTAGCTTGTGAACATGTTTGCTAAAATTGCAATCATTGCCAGCAAGCTGCATGTTTCATTTCTCTCTCATCTGTCCATGTTTTCTCTTTGTCTCTCTCCAGGCTATCACACCCTGTTTGCTGTGTTTGCTGTTCGTTGCCTTCCTCATCACACATTTTTACAGTACATTGACCACGGTTTCCTGCAGCTCACCGAAACCTTTGTGTCTCGTCTCATGACAGGTATACACACGCACACACTCCCTTTTAAACAGGAAAAATGCAATCATGTACAGTACTCTGCAAAAAAAAAAAAAAAAACTCGAGTTATCCCTCACTTCTTTATTTATCATTTGTTTCAGAGGACTTTCTTGTAATCTCTTTAAGTGGTTTTGAACAATTGTCCAGGCTTTCTGACAGCCTTTCCAAGTTTTTTTAATTGAACTTCGGCTACATTTTCATTCATTTCATTCATTTTCAGTTCGGCATGTGGAACAAACAGTATCTGTGCCACACACTCCTACAATCGTCGACAAAAGAAATCCACCTTTCTTAATTTGGGGGTTTTACGAATCTGGGCACAATGGTTGAAGCTTTCTATACACAACTTTTCAAGTTTGGCTTTTGATTTTGTTTCATAAAATAAAACATGGTGGAATGTATTGCAATTTGGATACTTAGGTCCCAACCCTGGTCCTCAAGGAACACTACCCTGCATGGTTTAGTTGTTTCCCCACTCCAACACACCTGATTCAGTGATTTAATTACGTCTCAAGTTATGCAGAAGCCTGTTAATCACCCTTTCATTCAAACCAGGTGGGTCGAAGCAGGAAAACAACTAAAATGTACAAGAAGGTGTTCCTCAGGGCCTATGGTTGGGAACCATTAGTTTAAGTAAAACAAAGCAGAATGATTACTGCTCTGCTCCTACCTGCAGACATATCTTTCAGGAAGTTACAGCAATCAACCGTTGTATCTTGTGAGACTTTTATTGTACCTCGCTCCCAAGTCTACAGTGACTTAGAAAAAAAAAAGTTTATGAAGAAGCTACTTCTTCCTCTGAGAATAAGCTGCTTAGCCACATAAATCTTGGAAAGCTGTATTTGGAAGCATTTCTAACAAATTAGTGGCAGGTGTAGCTGATGATCGTCGAACTTCCGGTTTTCCTATGATTATTTTACTAAATGAATATTTTGAAATTTCACTGTTTATTGTGAATCCTGTTGTGTAACTTCTGACGATTCTGCAACAGTGTTTTAACTAAAATAGTTTGGCTCAAGATTGCACATATTTTAAGCTCTATTTTTAAAGATATAAGCTGCACAGTTTATTTTTGATTTTAAAAAGCCAACAATGAGGAACACAGCTATGCTTTGACTGGAGTTTAGTAGTACTTCGCATTTTTGTGTCTGACAATTGAATTGAATCTTGAGCCCATTTAAAAACAGTAAGCAACAAAACAGTAACAAAACCAGATGGCAAGCAGCTATAAACCCAGTGTAGATTGCCTCCACTACTGGTGAAATCGTCTGATTGTTGTAGGGAAGTTTGTCAGTCAGCTCATTTTTGTTTTTCACCTCCGTTGGTGAGAACACAAATAGAAGAGCCAGCAGGGCTGCAAGCTGAAGTGTAAAGGATTAAACATTTTGCCAGGTTTGATTTACCTTTCTCCACCTTGCATGATGAAGAATCTGGAAAATGGCATGAATATTTTTTAGTTTTACACCGGATCTGATGGTTAAAATGCTCAAAGTTGAAGATAACGGGACACAAAATTATGTCAGAAAGATGCAATAGTACCAACTGTCCTTGGCTGAAATGCAAATAAGAAAAATATAAAGTACCTGTATATATATCAGTATACTTAGTATGTGTTTAGTTTGCTTTGAATACCACCATGATTTATAACTACCGTATTTTTTGCTGTATAAGTCGCAGTTTTTTGCATAAATTAGAATGCCTGTGACTTATACAGCGAAACAACTTATTTATGTTTTTTTCCCATATTTATAACCAATTTTTGTCTGAGATCTGACGATTTCATTCATTCTGACATGGAAAATATTGAACACTACCATTTTCAGACACTAGAGGGCCTTCAACTAATATGGCAAGCCAAGTGTCTCATTAATAGGTAAAAGTGGCTATTAATGAGACATTTGGCTTGCCATACTAGGTCACCTTTGTCTCACTCCAGAACTCCAGGAGCAAACGTCAAATCAATTGCATTTTGCCACGCTGCCCAGGCGATATGCAGCTGATTTGACCGTCAAAGTGCATTTATTAAGAAAAAGTTCAATAGAGACACACCTTTACTAAAATGTCAGGCAAACAAATAATTGTTTTTAGGTGGTTATCTTGTTAAATTTTGAAGACATGCACAGTGAGTCATCCCTCTGCACGCTCCTGCTTCCTCATATCGGCTTTTGAAATGCAGCTGATTTGGCCGTCAAAGTGCATTTGTTAAGCAAAAGTTCGACTGAGACACACCTTTACTATAAATTTTGAGCAAACAAATAATTGTTTTTAAGTGTTAATCTTGTTAAATTCTTGTTAAAGTCCTCCCATGCACGCTCCTGCGGCCGCCATTTGGCAGCCAATAATTTTTTGGCACACCGGCCCACATTTCCGGGTTGTCAGCGGTGACGCGCAATAGATGTGACTTATAAGACGAAGCGACGTATTCATGTTTTTTTCACTTCATTAGGCATATTTGGACTGATGCGACCTATACGACAGTGCGACATGTACAGCGGCAAGTACGATATTTTAGTGTTTTGCTGTAAAGACTAAATACAGGGAAAATTGGAGCTGTTGTACTTCAGTTATGTTGCATTTTGTTCAAAATGTGTTAATTTCATTATGACCTCGGGAAATCATGTCAGTTTGTTGTAAAGGGGCATAATATGTCTTCTTTGAAAACTTCTCGTGTAAAAGTTTGAGCAAGATGTTAGTTATTGGTCATTTCTACCTTTTTAGTGCAACAGACTTTTTAGATTATTTGCCAAAGCGTGGTTCAATGAAGTAAATTACTCCACCAGCTGGTAAGCACAGCAGGGTAGGAGATCCGACACAGCCAAGCTGAAGAATAAGCACTGCAACATGGAGGAGCCTTTCAGACGCTTGCCGAGTTTGACTGATGTTGGCAGGGATCCCCTATAAGCAGCTGATTGCGATAATAAAACCAGTACCAGGGATGCAGGCAGGAGGTTAGAGGTGTTCCTGAGGAGGAGCAGTTGGTGACAGAAGGAAAGGAGGATGAGAAAGAGGTGATGGCATCGTTGGCTAAGGCCATAGTGGAGTGGAAGCAGGAGACAATGTGATCCCTCTTCTCAAAGCCACTGTACTGACTACCAAACTACCGTGACCCTGTGTTGCTGCTACTGCAAAGTTTATCAGTTTGTGAATCAGAGTGTGTCACATCTATTCTTTACAGGGGGGTTGGCTGCTGTCTAGTCAAGGGTGCAATAAAAAATTGGATCCTGTTGATGATTCTGAGCTCGAGATTGCTGTAAGTGACAGTTTCATAACGACGGTCACAAGCTGTTAAGGACTGAAAGATTTTCTTCAACACAAAACAAGGTATAACCTCTGGTGTTCATGTTATCCTTTGAGCAGAACAATCTTTTATGGCTGCTTTATTTTACAATCTACAAGTCTCAGTCACGTTTGAAACTTGGGGCCAACCCACCAAACAGCATCCCTTGAGTGTCAAGGTGTTTGAAGATTCTCGTGCTTGTTTCAAAACCCATCAACAAAATTTCAAGGGATTCAATGATGGTTTGCTTGTTTTAGGAGACCTATTATCCTGGTGAGTGGTCTACCTCCAGTTCAGTCTCAGATAATAGAGAAATGGCCCGGCTGTAATAAAATGTATAATTCATAACTGAATCAGTGACTAGAAGCTGTTTCTCCTGAAAAAGTCTTTGCTAAACATCTGTATTCTTCCTGTGGTCTGGAAACTTTCAGACAGATTAATCTGTTAAGAGGACCATTTTTCAATATGTTGTTTTTTAGTTTCTTTTCACACTATACCTCTTTGTGGATGAAAAAGATGATTTTGTTCTTTGCACATCTTCTATACAATTTAAGTTTTAGCCATTTATTCCTGATTATGGATACAAGAAGTCTGACACCAAGGGTTCTTAAGAGTTATCTGTTTATCTTTTAATGATTTTTAAAGGATTCTTCTTTCTGCATTGAGTCTACTATTGAACTGAACTTACTGTGCCACCCAACCCAGAATAAACTACCAATTTATGTAAAGTATATGCTTCTTGTGGTTTTGTTTCTTTATGATGGGATTGGAAAAATAATCTGGATTATTTTCTAAACCGAGGCAGCATGGTGGCGCAACTGGTAGAGCTGCTGCCTCTCAGCGAGCAGGTCCTTGGTTCAAACCCCGGTCCAGGGGCCTTTCTGGGTGGAGTTTGCATGTTCTGTCCGTGCATGCGTGGGTTTTCTCTGGGTACTCCTGTTTCCTCCCACAGACCAAAAACATGCATGTTAGGCTGATTGGTAATTCTAAATTGTCCCTAGGTGTGAGTGAGAGACTGAATGTTTGTTTGTCTCGTTTGTCTCTATGTGGCCCTGTGATGAACTTGCGACCCGTCCAGGGTGTACCCCGCCCCTCGCACAGTGATTGCTAGACATGGGCACCGGTGACCCCCGTGACCCAAAATGGAATAAGCGGGTAAAGATAATGGATGGATGGATGGATATGTTGATGCAGTACTCTTTAACAGGGGTGATTCTAGAATCTGACCTTTAGGGGTGCTTAGTTCCCAGTGCTGACAATGGCTCTTAGCTTTAACAATACGATGGCCATTGGCATCAGAGGCATTTGTAATGGGGCAGAGACGACACACATTTGGGAAATTTTGAAAAAAAGTAGATGCTGGTAGAGGTTGTTTGTCTTGTTTGTCTCTACATGGCCCTGTGATGGACTTGCAATCTGTCCAGGGTGTATCCAGGGTGTACCCCGTTTCTCGCACAGTGATAGCTAGACATGGCCACCAGTGACCCCCGCGACCTGAAAAGGAAGAAGTAGGAAAAGATAATGGGTGGGTGGATGGAGGGATGGATAGATACCATTTCATGCATTCTGATGTATTTTAATGGGTTGTTAAACATCTACGTTTACCTACATAAATAAACACTTGATTCAATTATATTAGAGAGCATGGCACAACAAGAAGTAGCCTGACCAACAGCTCTCCTTGTGTGAGTAGAGCATGCTCCGCTTCTCTCACGCACCCTAACACCCACACCCTGGTCAACAACTGCCGGCACTAACGTAGTGCTAAACTAGAGTACAACACAGAGGTGTCTCCCCCTCCTCCCCCCGCCTTGTTGACACAAAACCCTGAAGAGATGAGCACCCTGATTTTTCAGGAAATCCCTCTGACCGCAAAGCATTTGCAATGCAAAACCCTGAAAATGTTGTCCGAGGAAAAGGGGTGCAGTTCCTGCGGGTAAAAGGTGTTTCACTTCTGGATGAACTGAAGTTGCCGATTGGTCAGTTGCTGACAAGCCTAATGGACTGATTGACAGGCAAGCCTACTGGACTGATTGACAGGTGGCGTTGTGGATCCAACTCGTTAAAAAAAAAAATCTGATTTTACTGGCCCGTTCAAGTGTCATCAATTAGTCCATATTTATTCAATATTTAGGTGAATCAAAGGTTTGAGAACTGAGTTTCCTTACAAAATTGTAATGATGATTCCTTAATTGTTTAGGGGGGCAGAGTTAAAATTTAGGAAAGCTTGAGCACCCTCAAAAAGAAGCTGAAATTGCCTATACTCTTTAATTAAAAAGACCGAGTCCACTTGTTATTTTTAAATGGGGGAGTGGTGGCGCAGAGGTTAGAGAGGTGGGCCTGTGATCGGAAAGTCGCAGGTTCACTCCCCGGTACTGACAACATCAAAAATGTGGGCGGGGTAGGTGAAGCACCCACACCTGCCTCCACCCTCATTCGCCCCACTCTGGGCCCATGAGCAAGGCCCTTAACCACCCCATCTGCTCCCTAAACAGGTCTCTCTTGAAAATGAGTTCTCGTGGCTCAATGAGACTACCTGGATAAATAACGGGTAAATGACAAAAAATAAAAATAAATTCCAAGCTTTGGCATTTAATTTGTAACACTTGGATCTAATTTGAAACGTCTGAAAAACAAATAAATCAATGAAAGTGTGCCTACTCTTCCTTGCCACTGATTTAATTATTTTACTTTTTAGAACATGCCTGACTATATTATCTTTGTCTTTCACATTGAGTCAAACAGGACAAAGTTTTGGCTTGTTCACGGCAGTATGACTTAATGCCACAAGGATGTAGTGTGACATTAGCATGTAGCGCCACTCGTGTTTATTATTGCCTCACAAAGCTAATGAGGCAACAGATTCTTGTTCAGTCCCATCCTATTTTTTATGTCATCTGTCAATATACTTTGTGAAACCATAATCATCTGGATGGCTGATTCGTGTCACACCTGTGGTAAACTACATCTCAAAACTGCCCCAAAGACCAAAGCAGAAAGTGTGATGAACAGATGAGCCCGAGAACAGCTCTTAAATGGAGGGCCAAAGTTCTTGTTATGAAATAAACTTAAATAATAATGATGTCAATTAAGGGAGTAGCTTGTATTAACTTTTTGAGCATGACTTTGTGCAGCTGTGGCTGACCGGTTAGAGCAGTCGTCCTCCAATGGGAGCGTTGGGGGTTCGATTCCATCTGCAGTCACATGTTGAAGTGCTCTTGGGCAAGACACTGAACCCCTCATTTCCTTTGATGCGTCTCCCATCGGTGTATGACTGTGTAGAGATGTAGTAGAGTGCAGTATGAATGAGTTCCCGAGGCTCAATGGGATTAACCTGTATAAATAAAGGTTAAATGAAAAATTTGTGTGTGGCGGTAAATTAGGGCACAGATTGTGTTATAAAGTGCTTTGAGTATCTTGATCAGGTAGAAAGGCGCTATATAAATACAGTCCATTTACCATTTGTGGACTGAAGAGGTTCCCCCACTGAGAATACAAACCCTGACTTGTGTATGTGACCTGTCATGTTTTCTGCTATAAACCCCAACCTTTTTGGGCCCAGTAGCTTTCGTGGGAACATAAACACGATCCAAATGAGGTAAAAATTGTCATTACTGCTGTCCTGATTAGGCTTGGAGAGAGAGTGTTTAGGCGGGTTAAATCCAGGCATGAATTGATTACAGTTGAGGCTTGGAATGGTAATGATGTGAAGCTGTTTTTTCTTGGAATAGCCCTTTTAGTTCCCTGGCTTGCATCAAACATCCCATATTTAGGAAACTAACTTTTTTTTTTTTTTTTTTAATTTACAGAGGTTTCAAATAGCTTTCCAAAAATACAAACAAAATAGTTACTTATCTGTAGTGAGAACTATCACAAAGTTGGTTCAGAAACCTTTGGCAGATGTTTATATTTGTCTCCATCTGTTTGCAGATAGTTTTCCCAACAGAAGTGCAACTATAGAAGATGCACACATGAACCCGATAAATGGCCAGAGTTGAGATGAAAAAAGTTGTTTATGAGATGCACTCAAGAACCCATTTCTTGAGTGCGTCTCATTTACATTTTTAACAATTCCTATTTTCTTAGCTGAAATTTATGAGCTCAGCTATTGTTCCATTTTTTCCCCCCTTTGAGACTTTCATCACCCAAGGCACTCTCTCGCTGAAATGCCTTTTTGTATGGCATATTCTTCTACACCAGTAAAGAACAAATCCCAGTGCATTTTGCTATACAGTCCTTCCTCTGAGAGTCAAACAGCGTAATACCTCGTCTCTAAAACCATTCTGGTCTACAGCAGTGGTGAAAAGACCTAGCTTCTTCTGTCTTTTTATAAGTACTCATATTTAAAAGGTTTTACTAGGACAAATGGTTATTTTTGCGTTTTTTGAATCCTTATTTTGCCTTTGTATCATGTTGGAAACCAACTGGCCTTTAGAAGCAGGGTCTTGCTGATGCATTCATTGCAGGGGGGAGAGCTCCTAATGGTGAACTATTTCTTTAAAAAGATTTGAAAATTGATTGAATCTGATTGATTCCCAGAGGAAGGCATGTATGCCGACATGCTGGACTTATTGTTGATGGTCTAGAAGACTGTCATGAAAAAAATAAAAACCTTTTACTCATTTTAAGGCGAGAATGCTTTGGAGTTTGTTGTCATTTAAATTTGGTGATATGGTTTTAATAAAAGGACATTCAAAGCACTGCATTCAAATAGTTTCCAAGCTCAAAGTTAGACAAATTAATATTTCAAGACTCTTATTGTATGGTATTCTGTGCGTCACTTCTTCTCAGAGATTAATTAAAAATCTGTTCATCTATTTGAAACTCTGTTTTGGCTGCTCAGGTGTGAACTTTCTAATTCATTACAAGCACAAACAAACTCATCAGAGCTTTTCCAAAGACTGCCATGTTTCTTTATGTTGGGGGTTTCTAATAAATTCTCATACGTGTTGTATGTTTTTCCACTACCTCTTTTATAAGTATTAGAGCTACATATAAATTGACTTCTGATTTTGATCAACTTCTGAATCCTGTCTTTACCTGCAAAGGGGAAATATTTCAGGCACATGTGCAGAGATGATGTGTGAAGTTGTTAAGTGGTGTTCTCACACAGGATTTGTCTCCAGAATAATAATAATAATAAGCATGATTTATGTCTTTGTGTTTTAGACTTGGACAACAGCAAGACCAGTGAGAGGCTGAAGTTCAGCATACTTAAGAGGCTTCCTCAGGTACAGCTGTTTGTGTGGTCAAGAAGGTGAAATAAAAAAATAAAAAAAAAAGGTCAGTTTTGAATAATTTTAGCAGCTTTAGGTGAATAAAGATCTCTAGAAATCCTAATGTATACGTGACAGAGACTTGGGTTATGAATTTAGGGTTTTAGTTGATTTAACTACACAATATAATAAAGAAAAATATTGCTTTAAGGGTAAAAAATAAAATAAAATTGGGCTTATAAGTGGATTCAAAAATCATGTAAACAAATAAAGAATTTATACATTCAAACACAAAATAAATGTGTAAGATTAGGGACAATATTGAATTTTTGGGCGTTATCTGATATCCCAATATGTTAAAACTTATTTGGCCGGTAACTGATAACTGATACCAATACCGATATTTTTTTCCCTTGATCTACTTACAGAGAATACATAGCTTTCTCTGCTGTGGAATTAAAATACTACATTATTCTGCATGGTCTTTGTCAGTTTGGCTGCTACCAGATGCCAAAAAGGGGCATATATATATATATATATATATATATGAACAGCGCCTTTTATTTTGGTGATTTATATGGCCAATGTCCGATATTTAAACTTTATCGCTAATATTGGCTGATACCGATACCATGCCGATAATATCGTGCATCCCTATGTAAAATATGTACACACAAACATACCTGTAAATGTGCTCCAAGCTGATAAAATGAACAGTGATGTACAATTTTATTATATGAATTGGTTTAACAGACTAATAAAAATAAACTGTAATGCAATCACTTAAAACATCTGATGAGCTCAACTACAAAACTTACTAATGATGCCAAAAGATTTGAATATTTTACTGCAAACAAAATAAATGGTTCTTCAAATTTTGACTTTTAGAAACCATGATTCCAAGTAAACTTATAGACGAGTCCAGGGGAGATGGATTATTTCCAATATTTATCTCCAGCAGTGAAAAATGGCTTCCAAAATAAGAAAAAAACAATCAAACTGTGGCCATCATGGTGCGTTCCATTAGTCCTGAGGAAATTTCCGTGTTTTTTTTTTTCCTGATGCAGTTCTTTCCCAAACTTCCCACTCTGCTCTAATTATGAATTGGAAGTTATCTGGAGTCTCATTTCCCTGAAGCCCCCCTCGGGCTCATCACAGAACACTCGTAGAAACCAGCTGGTGTGTGTGAGTGTGTCTGTGTGCAAAGGAGGGGTTGGTGGAGATAGGACTGTCTGATGTTCTTGTATAATGTCTACTGGTTCATGTGTGTATGTAGAGGGGTGTGTGTGTGATCACAAGAATGTTGAGTGCTTTGTGTTTTCGTTCCCTGACCATCTGACTTTTGCTGGTGGAGATTGAGCAGGTTCAACTGACACAAACACGCAGACTCAAGTGGAGTTGCACCATTTCCCAACTGAGGATTTGTACCTTGAATAAACTCACTAACACTCAATACAAACTATTTCTTAGAAAAGATAAACTAATTAATCATTTATCCATGAATGTAAAGGTGCAAATCAGAATTCCTTTTTCCTGTTACATTCCAAAGAGAAACAAAGACACTTATACATAAAAGACATAGCGTTTCTATAGGAATGCATATCTCCTCGTGTCTTTTATACCAACGTTTTAAAACAAAACCCTTGTGTGGTGTGTAAGGGTTCTACGTATGTGCTGGAAATGCCTTTCAGCTACCACACCAAATATTAGCTCAATATCTGTCAAACAGCCTGATTTGGAGCCATTTTTGTGTTTGCTAAAGTAAATTAGCTAAATAAATACAACACACTGCCTACTCCTGTCACAAAGCCAATGAAAACAGATAACCAGCTTTCATTCAGATAGTGAAGAAAAATAGTGTTAACTTTCAAGGAACGTAACTTTTTGTCATTTCGCCTCTGAAAATTGCTACATTTGATGTGAATCTGTAGCTTTCTATCAACCTGCCTGTGTTTTTAGAACCGACTGGATAAGAAAGAGCTAGGTTTTATCCTCCTGTCACTCACAGCTGAAGTGTCTGTTTGCTTCACTGTGATTTATTACTGTAGTTTGCATTTCACAGCTCCCCTAAAAACTATGATTTCTCTGGTACCCCTCATTAGCAGTCCGCTCTTCAGGAACGCTTTTGCTTTCCAGTTGGTACAAAAGAAAGGGACAGCTGTTTACGGCCACCAGGGAATCAGATTTTTTTTTGTTTTCATTTGAAAGCAGGGGCTACATGCCTAAAATGTAAACTATTGCTTTGCCTCTGTGTGTGTGTGTAGCCAATGGAGCAGAGGATTTGCCACATGTGGGATCATCCCGTCAGTTCAGCTTCAATCTCCAGAGATTACGTCAAAACTCTGCTTGAGAAACATAGCAAAAATAAGGTAACAGGTAACAAGGTAAGAGTGTGTCCCATGTGCTTCAGAAACATAAAAAATATCCCACTTTAAAGTGACTTGTCTCAGGAGTTGCTGCAGATATACCTAAATGCGTCTCCTTCTCCTCAGGGAAGTCCATTCACTGGGAGTGACAAGCCCAGCTTCAGGCACGAGTTTCTACCTCTTACCTACTTGGCAAAAACCCTATCGACTATTGAAGAACAAGGTGTGTGTATGTCCTGCGTAGTCCAGATATGAAGGAGTTTAGAGGATTTATGTGCAAGTTTGGCTAAAAAAAAGTAAAAACTGCTATCTCTGAGGAGCAGGACGTGTAGAAAGACGAAGTGTGTAACTGTTATGTCCTCTCGTCTTTCCTTTGCCTCACTTGGAGCAGCTCTGAACCCGTTCGTAGAGCAGGAGAATGTGGACGCCAGGTTTGTGGAGGAGACGGCCCTGATGCAGACGCTGATCCAGCTGGGCTTTGAGGCCAAATGAAGGATGGGGGAAAAGAAAGGGGCGAAGGACGAGGGCTGGGATGGATGGAAGGAGAAATTGCTTGAGGGAGAGAAAGGTTGCCTCTGACTGGGCCTTGAAGACGCATAAGTGATGGGCCGTCGGGGCGAAGGATGAGAGGCAGATTGCTCATAAACAAGTTCTCACTGTTTGACAAATTCGGGTGGGACTGAAGGCAGATGGATGGAATCGTGAGCAGAATGCACCTGCTCGAGACGCAGAGCATCACCTTATTAAAAACCACATGCAAGTGTGAGAATGGTGACTAAAAATTCTAACGACTTCAGCTGAAGGAAAATTTATACTGAAAGCCATTTACCGCAGTCGGATATTTATGCAAAGAACTTCTCTCTAGCAGCAACAATTCTTCCCCCAAACTCTTTCCTCCGTACAATTAATGAACATCGGCATCAAACATTGTTAATGGTATTTATAAATCAAACATGCTTATTTCTTCCCCTCCTTCCTGTAACGCCGCTGCATCCCATCAGCTTGATTACGTGCTGACAAAAGCTTTGCAGACGGAGAGGCTCGATATGGTCTGCTATGCATTAAATCTGATTTTGACACCGATTTGTTCAGAGGCTTTGCAGCTGAATGCCTAAACGCACAAACTGATTTTCAGATGTTGTGCAGAGTTTGTGGGAAATAACCACATTTAAATGTAAAAATCGCAGCAAGTGATTTCAGCCGATCGAAATCACCCAGCTTGGTTTTGTTGGGTATTTCTTACCATACAGATGCTTTCTAGATCTCATCTCGTGTTGTGATTTCTTAATGTTTACACCCCAAAAGTGTTTTTTTAAATCAGTGTTTACATCAAAATATGTTGGATAAAATGGAATAAAGACTTTTAAACCATTTTTTTTTTCTTCATCTTGGCACTTTTAAAATGGTACACAGAAGGTAGGAGGTCTTGTGAACTATTTAAAAGGACAGTTTGTATTTTTTAAATGGGATTCTCTGGAGTTACTGGTCAATATCTCACCTACAGTAGACACCACTTAATCATCAGAGAATTAAAAAAGCAGTTATGGACAAAGAGTCGCTGCAGCCAGTGTTTTAAAACAACTCAAATGTCGGAGTGGTTCATGAAACACTATTTTATACATCGTTACACTTTGTCACGTTACAATCAGAAGTCGGCATGCTTTTTCACCGAGGAACATGATTGTCTGTAGCGTGTTCACAGCAATAGTTCATGTAAAGCCTGGGTGACTTTACGTTTGCAACAAATTGGTGACTATTTTGACCTTCCAGCTCAGGCGAGGAAATTGAAAATCCTTTTGCAAGTTGCAAGACAGTTTTGGAAACTTTCCTGCAAATGCTGTTTGTATTTGTCACAATATCTAATCTGTGACCTATTACAGCCTCTGTGGACTAGCAGTCTGCTTCAGTGGCAACTTTTTTTTTAATTACACTTTTCATTCAACCTTTATTTATACTGGTATGTCTCATTGAGTCACCAGGACTCATTTTCAAGAGAGACCTGTTTTAGACAAAACCACAGATAAGGTGCACGCAACAATAAAAAGAAAAAAAAATGCATATAAAATGAAAAGTAAATAAAAGTAGTAATATAAAACAAAATAAAATCAAGCTACATTATGAAACGAGGTAAAATACTAAAAACAAGAACATGTCTGCATTGATTTTTGCATTGAACTTAACAGTTGTTTGAAATCCCTTATAGAGGTCATGGTCGAGAGCTTCTGATCTTTTTGTAAAGTGTTCCAGGAGCAGAGTAAGAGAAGGCCCTTTTGCTGACTTCAGTCCACACAGAGGACGCTGCAGGTAATGATGGCCTGAGCGCGCACCAAGGAGTGATTTATAGATGAAAACGTACCGGTGTGTGAGAGCCTGTGTTAAGTTAATGATGACCAGTTGACCAGTGAATACAGGGTGCAGTGATGGGTACGGTAGTTACAGCCAGTTATGAATCAGCGCACTGTGGTAGACAGCATCCAACATCTGCAAGGTGCTTGCAGGAGCATTCATATAAATGTCACCATAGTCAATGGCCGAAAGGAAAGTAGCAGCTATAAGGCGTTTCGTAGCATTATTTTCTGAAAAATAAACCCAATTTTATGTTCAGTTTTGGGCAGCATGGTGGCACAACTGGAAGAGTTGCTGCCTCTCAGAGAACAGGTCCCCGGTTCAAATCCCAGTCCAGGGGCCTTTCTGGGTGGAGTTTGCATGTTCTCTCTGTGCATGTGTGGGTTTTCTCCAGGTACTCCAGTTTCCTCCCACAGACCAAAAACATGCATGTTAGGCTGATTGGTAACTCTAAATTGTCCCTAGGTGTGAGTGAGAGCATGAATGGTTGTCTCGTTTGTCTCTATGTGGCCCTGTGATGGATTTGCGACCTGTCCAGGGTGTACCATGCCCCTTGCACAGTGATTGCTGGACATGGACACCAGCGATCCCCGTGACCCAAAATGGAAGAAGTGGGTAAAAGATAATGGATGGATGGATGGATGTTCAGTTTTTAACAGATGGCTTAAAAGAGAGATGTGCATTGACCAAAATTCCCAAGGATTTGTAAGAATCCACAAACTCAATAGGAACACCATTCATAGATAAGATAGGAGGAAGGGCTGCTGGTACCAACTTCCTGTTTGACAACAACATCCCTTTGGTTTTATCTGCATTTAGCACCAGTTTGAGACAGAACAAGTCTGACAAGATGATGTTGAATGCAGACTGTAATACCTGAAAAACCTTAGCATCTGTTTTAGCTCGACAATAAACAACTGTCATCGGCAAAGATGTATCAGGGATGTTCTGACCAACATTAATTATGTAGATTGTAAATAAAGTGGGTCCCAAGACTGAGCCGTGTGGTACGCAATTATTAACTGTTAAATAAGTGGAAGATTGTGTTGAACACATTGCTTTCAGCCTGAGAGATAATTAAAAAAACAACCGATAGTGTGGTCTGAGGAACCATATCTGAGAGCTTATGGCGTAAGATGTCTACAGTATCAAAAGCTTTAGACAGATCTAAATAAAGTGCAGCACAGTAGTCCCTTAGCATCCAATGCTTCAACAACATCATTAAAACCTTCAACGAAACGGCCTCTATTCTCTATTCTATTCTCTAAAATCAAAAGTAGCATCAGTATGGACAGAGACTGTTAGTGACAAATTGCAAGAGAGTTTGCAGAATGTCTAGAAACACTTGTGGTTCTCACTTTCCTTGCGTGACTTGCAGGACCTCGCTTTTGTGCCACTGGATCTTTGAACAGGTTTGAACAATTTTCATATCAAAATTTCTCTCAAAATAGTCACTGGTGTATTGAACTCGTCTCAGTCCATTCTCAATGTGGTATTCAGTTAGATTCCAAGTGAAAATTTGAGTATTCTCTTGCAATTTTGTGTCTCCTACCAGTCCTGAACTGAGACAGCCCATTAAAATGCTACAAAACTATTCTGACCACTGTTTGCTACAGGTAACTGAAATACCACATTATCCAATAAATAAATGGAACTATCCCTTGAACCTTAGAGCCCTGAGACGAATTGAGACACATCAGCCCTCAGTGAAGTCGTAAATGGCATGAAAATCTCGAACATTAAGAATGTCAGCTGCCATATTCTTGTGACATACCCATCAGAGATTGACTGAACTCACAGAATAATCCGTCGCCACACAAGCCAAGTCATATTTAACAAAGAATACACTCGCTGTAGTTTTTGCACGATTGTTTTTTATTCCCAACATCAAAATGATTTCTCATTTTGTTTAGAGTAAACAAATGGTTCATTCTCCCTCCGTCTGCCTCCCCCACCCTCGGTTATGCAGTCAGTGTTATGTAGCAAGCGAACAGTGAGGGGCCGAGTTAATCTGACAGCTTTCAGCATGACTTTGCAATGGATGATCACACGCGCACATCATATCGCTGGGTTACCTCTTTAAAAGTTGACTCACGCAGCAAGCAGCACCAGCCAGGTCTATCTCGGTGCGCACCAGCCTTTCCACAACTGTTTTTACACTTTTGTTTTTGATCTACAGCATTTCTTTTAACCGCTTATTGAAAAATGTTTAGCAAGCTTTGCTGTATCCTCATTATTTTCAGTTGTTTTACTGCTTATTTCTTTTAAGGTATTTATGAAAACGTTCTTTTTATTTTTTTTAGTCGCTTTGCGCATTACATTTTGTGTTTTAAAAACTCTCCGAGGCAGGCTCCGTGGCATATCTTAAGGAGCTTCAAAGGGAACTGACTTTGTTTTTGGTCACAAGTAACCAACTCTGAACTCTCCAGTCAATTTACAAACCTTCTTTCATCCTGCTTTTTTACTTCGACTCTCCTCTGCCGCCTTCTCTCGCTGCTATCCGCCTCATTTAATATCCCCTTTCTCTTTGTCATTCTCTATGCTCTTTCAGTGCTCAAGCTTTTTCTCCAGATTTATCATTTCAAGCATAATGCAGGCGCCCCTATCCTTGCACAAAACCTAAAACCCAAGGCGCTTTATTCAAAGATTATGCCCGTGAAGGGCAAAAACAACAAGGCTGAAAAATGTGTAGGAATATTCAAAGCGTCCCTGAAAAATGAGTTTGTTTTTGAGGGAAAGGAAGTTCAAACAGTTGGGATTTGTTGCTGGGTACTGAATTTAATACAAACCCCTACCAGCCAGCATTATGTAACACATTTCCCACTGAATCTGTCATCTTCTGTCAATTAAGGTACTAAGTGGTACTGGAAGCTGAGCATAAACACTGTCAGTAAATTTATATTAAAAAAAAGAAACTACAACCAGATGCAGATCAAATGACTAAACTGTGAAGACTCAAAAGTCAAGAGGATTAAGCATTTGTTAGACTGTAGTTTATGCAATATACCCTTCAATTTCTCCTTTTTGGAATGTTAGTACTAGTAAAGTAAATGGATATGTTTCATCATGTATAAAAAAGAAGTCTTTAGATTTATATATTTTTGCAATAATCTGCATACGTGTGATGTTTATTGCATCTCCAAGGGTTTGCGTGTTGGTGTGTCTCACGTCGGCTCCTGGTTAGTACGGCTTAAAGGGGGCGTAAGCGCCGAAGGGTTTGGGCAGAGGAAGACCGCCGTTCTGGGGGATGTATGCGTTGGGACGGGCTTCAGCAGTGGTGTACACTCCATTTGGCAACAGTCTCCATTTATCCTCAGCAAGCTGCACACACACACATCAGAAGCGGTTTTTAATATTTAATTTAAGCGTGCATGACCTTGAGTGAAATACTTGAATTTTAACTTTCCAGAAACGTAATCAAGTAAATGGAATAATCAACAATGCAATTCAATTTTTATAAGAGCTAAAGACAAACACAAGGGCACCAGCAAAAATCAGTGTATGAGCTGAAAGTAAAGCTGGGCAAAATGAAGATAACCGTGATGTTCTGTCAAGGGATGAATGCAGGATTTTGTGTTTAAGGTAAGGAGCCAAAGAAGTTAACATCTTGACCAACTTAAGGCTCCTGATAAGTTTCTTGAAATAACACGAGAAACAGTCAAGAAACTGAGGAAGACGCAAAACAATTACAAACAACAAAAATACACAAAACAACCACAAAGAGAGACAAAACATCTACAAAGAGTGAAGGAAAAAACAACTAAAATCTAAATAAAGAGAAATAAATTAGTACAAATCAGGTCGAAGAGAATACCGAAACAACAAAAACGAGAAGGGGTTCTCTGCAGACCAAAAGTGGGTATTTCTGGAGAATAGGCGTTTGTAGGGAGCAAACACTGATTGGCTAACTGTATTTTCTGGCTCTTTAGGTAAGTTACATCAGCTCTTTTTTTAAAACTGAAGGTTTCTAAGAAACAGCGTTATATCTGCTGTCAAACACAAGAAGATTCTCTTTTGTTGGGTTGTAGGCTGCACCTGACACAGGTTGGCTTGAGTGTGTTCTGGGTACAATGAAATATGAAGCATCTGAAGCGAAACCTGCTCCCATTTGTCAAAAAGTCTGGTCTCAATTAAAGATCATGAGTCATGTGACAAGATAATGGCCCAAAACAAATGCTAAAACCAAAATTTGCTCTTTAGAAGTGTCTTCTATGAGATCTGATCTATGAAAGGAGCTGAGACATGGAGTAGGGTTGACCTTTAAAATGTGAGACAGCTGAGGAAGTTAACCAGTAAACAGAAATACCTGCTCCAGTTGCAGAAATCTTACAGAAACTGATAATCACTCATCTGCAGTGACTGCAGGTTGAACAAGAAAATGTGAAGTTAAAGGAAACATCCTTTGTCCCAAGGCCAGTTTAAGTATCATTAATATTTTGGTTACTTTATTTTTCTTTATGAATCTATTGTAACTATTTCCACATTTTTCAACAACCAAAATGGATTTTGTTTTTTAATGTAATGGCTAGGTATTCAAAAACAAACATTTAGCCCTCCCCACTACCCATTTATGTTGCTCTTATTTTGAAATGTAACCGGAAGTTCTGTGTTAAGAGAGGTGGAAAGAGAAGTTATGGAGACGCCACTAATGTTGAACCGGTTAACACCATAGACATAATATGCCTGTGGTTAACACAATCTGCCAATAACGCCTTGTTTTTAAACATAATATGTCTGTGGTTAACATAAACGGCTTGTTTTTTTGGTTCAGCCTTTTTTTTTGTCCAATCAGATGTGCCCCCCGGCACGCCTCGTCCAATAAGATGTGGCCCTCCAGATACGCCTTCCGAATTTGTCTGCAGAGATACCGACTTGACAAAAACTAAAGAAAATACACAAAAACAACAGCAAAGTGAGACTTGAATGACTTTACAAATGTATAAAATGGTCAAATAATTAACTAAAGACTAAGACCAAAACCAGACCAACTAAAGACAACTACAGAAAAACTATAAAACTATATACCAGGGCTATTCAACTAGTAGCCCAGGGGCCAAATCAGACCCACAGATGAACTCAATTCAGCCCACCAGTGGGTTCATTTTTAAATAAAACTAGATTTTAAACAACAAAACAAACTTAATGACAATAACTGCTGGATGTCTGACCCTTGAGCTCTTGACTTTCAGTAACTGTGGTCCCCTTAGTGATGTGGTTGAATAACCCTGTATATATTGTAGGAGTTGAATAGACTAGTCGATTCTAGGACATCTCGCGAGGTTTTAAATTTCACGTCAATCAGTCAGAGTCAGTGATTGTGTCACGTGATCAGCTCCGGGGCGCTTGCTAGAAACTGGATTATTTCAAGCGAATGGAAGGCGAGGAACAGGCCAAGTCTTGCCAAGCAGGTAAAAATTCATCAACAGTGTGGAATTATTTCACTAAAGATGACTCTTACGGTTCAACCACCCGCTCCACTACCGCCTGCCCCGCTGTTTCTATTTAATCCAGTAAATAACATTAAAATCAAAACAGGGACGCACCACCGCCAGTGGATAATCCACCACTGCGAACCGGTGGTGGTGGATTCTCCAGCAGTGGTGGATTCCACTACCGCCGGTGGAGAATACACCACCACCGTGTACCGTGCGCAGTGGTGGATTGCTCTCTCCAAGAATCCACCACAGTGGTGGTAAGCGATGCACGCCGGTGGTGGTGGATTCTCCACCGGTAAATCGTCAGATAGTTTTTGTTTTTATTTTATTCAATCCACTAAATAAAATAAACATAAAAACAGGGGGGGGGGGGGCACACCACCACCAGTGGACCACCACCGCAATGGTTTATTTTATTTAGTAGATTAAATAAAAAACTAACTTTTGCAGCTTAATAATAGTTTTGGTTTTCCTGTGACTTATTTGCAGTATGATAAATGCTAAATATACACTTCCAATGTTTTTTTTGTTGTAAATAATAAATGACATTTTTTTGTGAACAGCGTCTTGAGTTCCTATAACGTCACGTCGACTAGTCGATGTCAAGTCGACTTTTATCATGTTGAAGTCGACTTTAAAAAATATGTAGCCATTCAACTCCTAATATATTGTAGTGACATTTCGACTGAAACAGAAACTAAATATCTGGAATAAAGAAAAAAAAAACATTAAAAGAGAAAACACTGGGAGTGTTCATCTACCTGACTGATAGACTAGGGCACATAAATATGAGGTACTAGTTTACTTCAGTACATTATCTGAGCTCAGAAGCTGCACGGCACGTTGTGTTTCTTCAGTATTTTCTTTCAGGCCTCAAAGAACTGCAGCTTCTGGGATTCAGTGCTCATGAGCAATTAGAGCAGTTGTAAAATGGCTTCAAAAAAGCAGTGAACATAGTTGGGTAGATCTATTAAAAAAATACATGTTTGCATTTAAATCTCTACCCAGATTAGATTTAATATTTTAAGATCTGAGTCAAAGCTGTGACTGATTCTTTTATTGATGCGACTAAACCAGACCGATCCCAGCATTTGTATATAAACTGTGTGCAAGAAATGCGAGCACGTCACTTCAGCTTGGGTACATTTTAACTGTGGAAGGGAGTGCTTTTTTTCTTCTTCTTCGACTTTAATAAAGTCGAACAAACAGTCTACAGAACACAGACAGTAGTGGGCAGGATTGATTTGAACCCAACATGGGTGATGGATCAATGCGTAATCACTGTGGACTCCTGTGGAGGAAAGAAAATCAAGATCAATTGTGTACATTTCCTTGTGACTCGTTCTGTGACTTCCACCCCACAGCAGCATGCAAATGAGCCATGGCTAAATCTCACTGAGGCTTTAAAAGATGGCTGTTCGCTTGTGGACAGTTTAATCTACTGGCGTCTGATCTAAGGAGTATGCAGAAAAGGACGACAAATGGCTTTGAGAATAAAACCGAAACGGCCAATAAACAGACGGGAATAAACAGTATCTGGAGTATCAGCAGGTAACGAAAATAAATCCGTAAAGACTTTCTCCCACTTTTTTTTGTTTTGTTTTAGCCTTATGCTTTCAGATTGTTCTTATTGTTGTGAACCAGTGACTGGAAGTGGAAAAATGCTGTAGGAAAATGTATTTTTGCACATCTGACTCTCCTGTCTTCATTTGCATGTGTTGAAAATGGTTCCTGAATTCCTGACTCTAGATTGCCACCTCAACATCGTGTTTACTGCAACGCTCAGCCTTTCTGTGTTCTTGTGTTGCCCCTCAGCTTCATTTAATTTCTGACTAGTGATCTCTGTGTGTTTGTTTACCCTCTGCCTCTCCTCTTTGTTCCTCTGTCTTCTCTTCTTGTCCCGAAGCATCCTCCTCCGCTCCTCTTCTATCTCAGGAAAAGGCGTCAGGCCCTGTTCCAGCCGCTGTTGGCATCTGTCCATCTGGAAATACAAAAGCGTGCAAGAAACCATTCACTTTGTATTCCTTTCACTCCGTCCACACGGCACTCTCACAGCTTGATTCAGTTCGGACTGCACCCCAAAAACAGACGGCCGCATGAGTGGCGGGATGTTGGCAAAGTTGCGCCTCCCCATTTTTCCATCTCTAGTTTACGTGCTGCAGTAAAACATCAGCTGTGGGGATTCTGCATGTTATTAACACAAATCTCTTAAAATATGAAGAGTTGATGTGAGGAATCCAGAATTTTTTTTATAGCGACAAATAAAGATTGTGGTCAAATTAATGTCAGTTTTTACAAATGTTGATTTTTTTTCTTCTTTTGAAAAGCTTTGGCGCTTCATCTTCTTGATTTACAGCTCACTTGTTCAATAAACATGATAATACGTTATGGTTGTGATTTGATGAAAGTGTGAGTTACTGAGGGCCTGTTCATACCTGTACATAAATATCTGTTTCAGGTGATTTGACTGCAAGACATCAGATCTGATGGACAGCAGTCACACCTGGCCCATTAATATCCAGGATCCCCTCGCTACTTTGCAGTTCGTTTTTCGTGGACTCGCTCCATCGCTGTTTTTCAAAATAAGATTGGACATGACACACAACTGGTTGATTGATGGATGAGCCGCATGATCGGCATGGAATTTTTATTTAAAATAAGTGATTTTAAATTATTTAGCACCTGCTGCACCTTTGTGCAGCCCACAATGCAGGATAAGCTTCATCCTGCAGCTGATCAGCTGTACTCTGTGCAGAGCGTAGAAGTGGGCGTGGCCAAGAGCGTTTGCAGGTGGTAAATGGTAAATGGACTGTACTTATATAGCGCGTTTCTATCTTATTTCAAGACACTCAAAGTGCTTTACACTACAATCTGTGTCCTCATTTACCCATTCATACAGCACTCTACTAGATCTCTACAAAGCTGATTGAACAAATCATTCTAAAGAGACTAATCAGAGCTTTAGATCACATTCATACACTGATGGGACACACATCAGAGGCTATGAGGGGTTCAGTGTCTTGCCCAGGGACACTTTGACATGTGACTACTGGTGAATTCGAACCCCCAACTCTTGCATTGGAGGAGGCTGCTCTAGCCACTCAGCCACAGCCCCTCCAGCCAGCTGACAGCAGCCGAGGCAGATAGAGGGAAATCATGACATTGTACTCTTTTAGTGCTTTAGAGTTTAGAAACATTGTTTAGAATATTGCAATAGTGTGGGAAAGGGGTTAAAATGTCTTTATATATATATTGCGGGGCTTCAGGGTACAGATCCCCCATGATAAACGAGGGACTACTGTATATCCTGTCAGCTATTCTTTTACAAAGTGCCACTATGTATGTCACATCATTAGAGGAATATAATGCAACCAGTGGTGTAGTCTACGTGATACTCGGGCATCCGGAGTGTACCCACTAGAAAAGCTTAATAATTTCAGTATACCCACTTAAAAGTGCCCGATAATACATGACATATCATTAGGCACATGTCATTGATATGTTAAACGGCAGTTAAAGGCTTCCGTATCCATTGGTATGCAGCACTTTGCTTTGTTACTGTTTTTTAAATTCTATAACATGTTTTTAATACAAAGCCAACTGTTGTACAAAGTTTGTTGTTCATTTATTCAAATATAAGCATCAGAGAAATTTGGAAATGTTCAATATGCTTAAAAATCAAAATAAATGGACGATTACATTGTACTAACCAGTGTACTTTGGTTTCTAAGCACAGTATACCCACTACAAAAATGTAGACTACACCACTGAATGCAACATAAACAATAAAAAATATATATATCGTGAGAGCTTCAACAGTTTATTAAACCTATTAGCAGAAAACAAAACTAAAAGCTGTATCTTTTAAATATTACCAAAGATTGCTGTTTAATTATCTTTAATCAAGTACCAGAGTAGACTTATTTGTTTTTTTTTGCTTCGAGACATGAACTCTACTCATGTGGAATCATGGCAGTTCAGTCCTACATTGAGGCTCTGGACGGTTTGTGTTCAGACTACCAAATACACTGAGTGGATATATAATCGATGCACATTGAGGCCGTTCGGACCTGTATTTAGTGCTAACTGAATGCAATCCTGTCACTAAGAATATTTCTGAGGACCATGTGTGAACACGACTTCAACAGTAAACAAATCGTTGACTAACTTGACAGAATCTTATATCCTAGGATTCAATTTACATATAAAATGCAACGTTTTGACATAAATTACGTTTTTATGGTTATGTCAAAGGAGTCTAGCAATAAGAACTCTTCAAAGACCATTTGCACTTTAACCAACTCAATAAAAAAAACTTTAAAATATTTTAACTTCTTTGTTCTGGTTGTAAAAGACATGACTATAACATTCTCACCTTTCTTAACAATCGGTCTTTGTCTGGCAACAGGCAGCTCTTAGCACCAGTACGGACCAAAACCACTTTAGCTGTGGCTCAACTGCTAACAACAGACCTCCTCCTGGTTGCTATGGTTACAGAGGTCACTAAAAAGATAACTGTTAGCCTGACCTCTCCCTTTTTTCTTCAGATTGAATTATGAATAAATGGATAAAGGAAAATTTAATCAATTATTTTTATTTTTTGGTTATCAAGCAACCCGTTCACATATAAGTCAGACTTTCTCTAGAAATAAACTGACTGCTTGCTGCGGCGATGCCCGAGCGCTCAGCACAGTAGCTAAATATTAATTCAAATTCCCCGATGCTCCCACTTACTGTGCTCCCCATTCATTTCTCTGCCCTTTTTTTATTTATTTTTTTTACTAGAACTGTTTAAATTTTATAAACCCCTTGAAGCTGTGTTTTTTCTTTCCCCGAGTCTAAATGTGTTTTACTGTGCAAATAAGGCACATAAGCAGGTCTGAAGTGAAGAACAAGAAGCTTAGAAGACTGTTTGCTTTCTTCGATTGTGGTTAGTGGAGAGTAACAGGAATAATGAGAGAGGCAGTGGGAGACTGTGGGGTGAATGTGCAAACGGGAGAACAGTGTGGTGAACTTGGGGCAATCCGAATGACTGTGATCCTGTCTGACCTGAAACTCTTTCTCTTTAATCTGTTGCTGCTGAGACAAAGCAGCTGCTTGCTTCACGGAGAGTTCAGCAGAAACGGCCATGATGCGGTAGTTTGTGTTGAATATGTTGGCTCGGACCTTGTTCAGCTGGAAGGAAACACAAACGTATGCACAGATTAGGCTCTATTTGCACCCAGATAAAGACCAGAAATACAAGCTTTCAAGTACTTATTCGGTTCATTTTTATTTGTGCCAGCTTTTGCTGCAGACGAACGCAGCTCAGTGCATTATTGATGCAATTTCTCTGTACTTGTGCAGTTTTATTTGTCCTTTTACAATACGATGTTTAAACTTACAATTTTAGGCTTCTTTGTACTTTTGTTTGTTTTTAAGATATACGTTTCCCAAATATTTTTTTATGAATTCTGTTAAATCAACTTTTAGGGATGCACGATATTGGATTTTTGGCCGATATCCGATATGCCGATATGTTATTTGGCCGATAACCGATACCACTACCAATATTTTTCCCCCTAGACCTACTTACAGGGATTCCATGGATTTCTCTGCTGTGGAATTAAAATACATTATTCTGCATGGTCTTTGTCAATATGGCCTGCTACCAAATGCAGATACCAAAAAGGGAGCTGAAAATGATGCAACACTATAAATTATATATTATATATTACAGCACATTGGAGAGTAATTTTGATGGAATGGCCTATTTCCGATATTTAACTTTATCCCTAATATAGGCCAATACCGATACCATGCTGATAATATCATGCATCCCAATAAATTTTAGAATGGTGCCTCATTATTTGCAGCTTATTTGCTCTAGTTAATATGTGTTTGAGTTAAAGTAGCTCACTGGGCTGCGACTGCTGGCCACTAATGGAGGACAGCATTTGTGAGGGGGTTTCCAAAATGTCTCCAAAAGCTAACAGGGGTTCTTATTGTCTTCATGTGAGCTGTAGATGCTTGTTGCTTTAATTTTAAAATTATATATATATAAAAAAAAATGTCAGCAATAACGTTTCTCTCAAAATAACCAGTTTTAATACTCATTTCAAATTTTGTGAGCTGCACTGGAGCTCTCCTATGACAGAAAGCGCACAACGATTCAAACCTGAATGTACAATGTTAAAAACCACACTTATATTAAATAATGACAATTTAAAAACAGGCCAACATCTGCCTATCTTCATTTCTAAAGTGTACTCTAGTAGAATAAATCAAATGTGGGGCAGCTGCCAAGGTGCGTTCAAAGCAGGCGGAGGTGGGTACATTGTGTGAATGTGGACAACAAAATAATGTGCACAACCTAGAATAGCATGTTGCAAACACTGATTTTGAAAAAGTGCCCAGCCCGGTGGATGCTGGATTCAGACTAAGATGATTACACTTAAAGGACTGATTTGAGTGCTTTGAATTAAGGTGCTATGGAGTTGTTACCATTAATCAATTTCTTACCTGCAGTACAAATTCACTCATAGCATGATCATGTTGGAATATAAGAAAGCGCTAGGACCAAGGTCAAAAAGGACTTTTGATTTTTTAAACAACTATCAGAATTTCATAGTGGTTTAATAATAAATCTTAGACCTGTTTTTTTTTCTCCTTTTTTTTTACAGTGTAGGTTTCATGTAGACTATAGCTGAAAATGGACCACTTCATTGTTAACAGCCATACATTTCTATGTAAATACAGTGACCCCTCACCTATTGCGGGGGTTACGTTCCAGAGACCCCCACGGTTGGTGAAAATCCGCCAAGTAGCGGCGTTATATTTATTTTATTATTTGTATACATATTTAAGACTTTATAAACTCTTCCCACTCTTATTAACCTTTCCCACTCTCATAAACACTTGAGTGTTTCCCCTACCATTACACAAGTAGGGCACCCCGAACCGTCAACAGAATTGAGTGCCCCGCCTACCGAACTGACGTAACGCTAAGCTAGCAGCACGCAATACAGGTGCGCTAGCTAAAAAGCTAAAGGCAGGCCGCTTCCCTCATGCTGACTCCACCCCCCACCCCCCACTTTGAAAACCTCAATGTATCTGTCTAGATGTTACAGCCAAAAGTCCTTCTTTTAACTCTAGTTTTTGCTTTTGTTGAGTTATTAAATCTAAGATAGCTACAGATAACAAAAGAGGAGAGAAAGTGAATTAGTCCTTAACTCAGTGTGACTAATCTAAATGCTCCTCACATGAAATGCACATCCCCTTCAAATGATTTATCAGTGTGTTTGAGGAAGAGACAGAAAAAGAAAAGTCTAGACTTTAAATTAAAGTGTAATTAATGTTTCTGAATCTGTGTGTAGACTCTACAGTGAGGCAGTGCGCTCTGATCTGATCTGTGCGGAGACGATCTAAGCCTCCTGATCTACCTTCTTTGCCAGAGTTAGGCTATCCTGCCTGCAGTTCTCCACCTGCTCCCCGAGCGGCTTCGACAGCCGGGTCACCTGCTCCACCAGGAGTTGTTTTTCCAGCGTCTGCCTCTCGCGCTTGGCTAGATTCACCTCTAGCTGCACAAACACAAGGACAAAGAGGCTGTAGACTTGCAAACAGACTTTCAAATTCATATGATGACGTTGCTGTTTTTGAGTACCTGCTCCACTTTCTTGATGAGCTCTGCAGTTGATGGATCTTCGCCTTTTAGCTCCTTGTAGCCAACTGTTCGGTTCAGACTTTCCAGGGTCTTGTTCCTGGCTTCTGACAACTGTAAAAAGTAAAAAAAAAAAAAAAAAACTACAGGAATTGCATTTCCTCCAAAAATGCAGTGTGAATGCTTATTGCAGAAGAACTTGCTGAGAAACAGCTGAAATTAGATTAAAAAAACATGCTGAAATGTATCTGAAATGAAAGAACAAGCCTAAATTAACAGAAGAAAGCAGAAAGAGCACATATTTGCTGAATTAGGTTTAAATAGGCAGAAATTAGCACAAAAATTGGGAAATAAGCTAAAACAGCTAAAATGAGCAAAAAAATAGCTGAAAAGTAGCTGAAAAGGCAGAAAGAAGCTTAAACTACCAGAAGGAAGCAGAAAGAGCTGACGAGCCAAAAAATGTGGAATTAACTGAAAAAGCTGAATTTAAAAACAGCTAAATAGTAGCTGAAATAGCAGAAAAACTGAAACTAGCATAATTAAGCTGAAGCGAGTATAAATGGACTGTACTGTACTTATATAGTGCCTTTCTATCTTATTGAGATACTCAAAGCTCTTTACATTACAATCTGTATCCTCATTTACCCATTCATACAGCACTCTACTTGATCTCTATAAAGCTAATTGAACAAATCATTCTAAAGAGACTAATCAGTGCTTTATCACATTCATACACCAATGGGACACACATCGGAGGCAACTAGGGGTTCAGCGTCTTGCCCAGGGACACTTCGGCATGTGGCTGCTGGTGGATTCGAACCCCCAACTCTTGCATTGGAGGACAACTGCTCTAACCACTCAGCCACAGCCGCCCCAAGTATAGCAAGCTGAAATGATCAGAAAGAAGTTCATTACGCTGAAAGAAGCAGAAATTACCATGGATAAACTTGAATTTATGTAAAAACAGCTGAAATTAGCTAAAAATGATAAAAGCTAGCAGAACAGTTAGAACAAGCTTAATTAGCAGAATAAAGCAGAACAAACACATCTGCACATTTATGCTGAAAGAAGCCAAAATGAGCACAAAAAGTGGAAATTATCAGAAATTTTTTTTAAATTAGCAACAACCCCCCCCCCCAAAAAAAACATCTGAAAAGTAGCTTAAAAAAAAAGCAGAAAGACGTTTAAATTACCAGAAGGAAGTAGAGAGCAAATTTTTGCTCAATTAAGCTGAAAAAGTTTGAAATGAGTGCAAAAATGTGGAATTAGCCTAAAAAGCTAAAATTAGCATAACAATGGCAGAAAAAGCTGAAACTTGCAGAAATACGATGAAATTAGCAAAAATAAATTAGAAGACGCACAAAAATATTGTAGTTAGCAGAAATAATCTAAAAGGAACACAAAACAGCTGAAATTAGCTGAAGGTAGCAGGAATTATTTTTTTTTTAAATGTGCACAAGGAAGCTAAAAGAAGGTGAACCAGAATAAAATGTGAAAGGAGCAGTAAAAGGTTGTAAACACATCTAAAGATTTGAAGGATGTAAAACGAGCTCATTTAATTTCCTATGAGGAAAAAAAAGTGTCAGAAAAGGCATAGACTATGACTTTTAGTATTGGTGCATCTTTAGCACCAATAGCACCCTTCTCCTGAATGCGTTGAACGTTTTGATTTATGGTTTGTTGAAATAGCATGAAAATTGTGGAACGAGAAAAATGCCAAAATACGTATGAGAGAAAAATGGATCACAATAGTGTGAATGCTTCGTAAACATTCACACAATAAACAAACAAATAAACCTAAAAAATCTGACACAAAAGAGGCTACTCAACATGTATAAAGAGTGCCTATAAAGGCCAGCAGAAGCAAAAAATGTTTACTGCCACTGACGTAGTAAAAGTATTTTATGCGCAAGACAAAAATTCACAAAATGAATAAATAATCTAAAAGTGCAGAGTAAGAGCAAGAATCTAGACTAACTGAGTTTTATCCTCTGGGTATTTGTGATACTTAGTGCGCTGGGATTAAAAAGCAAAAAAAAAAAAAAAGCCTCTTTCTTTGCTAAATGTTGTGCCTAGATGAGAGATGCTTCCCACTAGGAGATAAGTCGCTGGGAAAGTGTGATAAGAGGCAGTGAACTTTAAAATAGCTAGGAGGATCCCTCAAAGGGACTTCTTTTTGGGTTCCTGACATCCCTTTAGACAGCAGAAACAAAAAAGGATGCAAGGATATATGAGAAAACACTAAAAAAACTAATCAAAAGCCCGAAGAAAGACACAAAAGTGAGCATCGAGGCAGAGTTAGAGTTACAGATTCTGTCTTTCAATGCTTATTCCCAAACCGATGCAGTCAAGTAGTGCTGACTTGATGAACTGCATAAATGAAAAACAAGAAAAAAAACATTCAAATCTTCATGTAAAAATGGCGGCACGTTTTGCTTTTTTTCCCACAGTTACTTTTCAAGATCACGTCACAGACTAATTAACCTAAACAGCTTTGACGTTTTGGCTGCGTGATAAAAGATAAGATAAAATAAGTGTGTCATCGTTGTATGTTCCCATACAATGGCGAATTGTCCAGGTTTAATTTTCTATGAATAATCCACAAAAGAAGTCCGTCTAATGAAATGCAAATTATTCTCTCTCAAATGGTCCAAAGGCTCGTCAAGTGTTTCCTATGGCTTTATTAAAAAAACATAGATTTTTGGTGTTAATGAGTCACACGCTCTTGATTTATATTCACAGTGAAACTTGCAATTTAATGCGTCTAAAATAGGTATGAATAATTTGTTGTACAGTTCCACTGCAGAGCCAGCTGTCTCTGTGTCAGAGGCTACAAGTTGCAATTTGGTGCTAATTGATTTCATGTTGATGCAATAATCTAATTTTCTGTTTTTAGACCTTAAAACACCCACCAAAAGACAAACAGATGACATGAAGTGCTTTGGCTAACTCTGGTGCATTTTCTGTTTTGTGTTTTAATGTGTGGTGTCCTTTTTCAAATGACCAAATGAAGTAAACAAGAGGAAAACAAGCAGAAAAAAAGAGTAAATGGCAGAAAAATCATGTTCTAATGTTAAAAAAATATGTTCTAGTATGACACAGTGGAGCTATTTGTTAAAACTGAACTTATCTTAGTTTAGCAGGTGAATTTGTGAGAGGATTGTGCACATGAAATGTGACTTTTTTTTGTATAAAAGTTCAAAACAAGCTAATAAAACAACCAACCTAAAACGATCATGGCTACATTATAGAAAAATAAAGACAATCTGCATATAAACATACATGAACCTGAGATAATCAAACAGCCTGTAAGAAGGAAACAAGACAAAATAGAAGCAGAAGAGACCAGATGACTAACATTAGAAACTGAAGCCTGGAGAGATCTAAAAGAGAAACGTTAGGAAGTGGCGGTTTGACAGACAGCAGAAAATACAGAGGATTGAGCTGAAGAGAAGTAAAACAGGGTGTAGTTTGACTTAACAGGAACTGGTCTATAAAAAGACAGCTGCTCTCCATTTAACAACGCGGGCGCCACTCAATATTTATGTTGCTGTATCTAATGTATCTAGAACGACCGCGTGGAACCAACGATTCCCATTTTCACCTCCATTCATGAACGGAATTAATGAAGGTCACAATTTACACCCAGAAAGTACGGGAGGTCTGATTACAACAGACTCAGGTGATCAGTCAAGGTTTTAATAAAGCTGTTTGTTTTCACTCTGGTACTTTAGTCCAACGACGTGTGAATTAAAAAAAGAAAGAAGCTAACAGTAAAGTATGGAAGACGGAAGGTGACAAAATTAAATAAAAATTTAATAATTAAATCAGGAAATCAATAAATAAGCAATTAAATTATTAAATACGCAAATTATTTACTTCATGATTGATTGAATTATTAATTTTGTCACATTCCACTCTCGTGTATCAACATGAAACTATGTTAACTGTCAGTCTCACTCATCAAACTCAGTGGGCGGGATTAACGCTGAGCATGTGAAATCCATTGCTTCGGTCTGATGAAAAAAGGTTTAATCCAAATACACGTAAACACAATTATCACTTCCTAAAGTTTTTTCGGAATACATTTTCTGGCCTATCGATTATTGGTGGTCGATTTGTCTTTGCTTGCTGTGAGGAGCAGCCAATCAGGCGTCAGGGTTAGAGTTAGTCCCGCCCACTGAGTCTGACGAGTGAGGCTGACGGTTTACATTATCTGGGGGGCGGAAGGTGACAAAATTAAAAGAAAAAACAAATCATGAAATAAATATTTTAAAAGGTACATTTCATTATTTAATGGTGTTTTTAATAAGTTAATTGTATATTTAATGATTTAATTATGTATTTAGAAATTAAAAGATACATTTAATTGATTGTTATGTATGTATTATGTATTTATTTATTTCATTTTGTCACATTCCATCCTCCACAGAAAGCGATGATGCATTGAAAATGTGCCCAGTATTGATTAAAAACTGACAGAAAGCGTAAAGTAAAGGGAGCTAATAAAAGATGTGGGGAAAAAAGGCGAGAACAGGACAACAAAAGCTTGTTCTCAAAATTTTAAAGGAAAAATTATGCGACAAATCTGGCAAATAGATTCCTGATGAACATGCAAATGAAGGTTGCAGAATATGTGGTTATTAACTGAGTAACTGGAAATATTTTGCATACATTTCCATTTTTGAGAAGGCGATAAAATATTTTGGGGTCATCCCTGCTGAGTTAAAATGAAAGGTTGAAGTTTGCGTTACCGAAATAAGTTCTAGTTAACTGTGCTGCAGCTTTCTCACTCAACGCTCCAGTTTGAATCATGGTATATTTAAAACTCAACTATATTTGTAGTTACATTGCATATACAGGTCCTTCTCAAAAAATTAGCATATTGTGATAAAGGTGATTATGAAACAGCCATGTCTGTCTGAAAAATATTTCATGAACTACTGGATAATTTTTAACAAGACTTATAAAGTAATTATTGAATGTATATTTACAAGAAAATAACTATTGGAGCCAGCCCAATATAAGATTACTGTCACAGCCAGTCTGGGGGAAGCATGGTAGCTCAGTTGGTAGAGCTGTTGCCTCTTAGTGAAAAGGCCGCTGGATCGAAT